TAGATTCATAGTTTATTGCAATGTGTTAAACAGTGTTAGAGAAGAGACTTTGTGTGTTGGTTGACGGCATTGAAATAATCTCATTTAGTCATTCAGAATGTGTATTTTTAGAATTATATTATTTAGAATGTTTCAAATACCCCTCGAAATCATTTACATTTAATATTTTAGAGCTAATATGATAGGAATTTTGAATATATTTGTGCGTTGAAGTTTTAGTAGCAATTTGGTTAAGTTTTGGTGGTGGAGTTGCTAGCACCACGCCCCAACCCTCCCTCTTTATCCGGGCTTGGGACCGGCTGGAATACTAGTGACCCAGTAATCTAGGCGAGGTTAGGAGTGCACCGGCCGGGGATCGAACCCCGGACCATGTGCGTGGTCGGTGAGCGTCCTAACCGCTATGCCACCGACGCAAAGGAGTGCGTCAGCTGGGGATCGAACCCCGGACCATGTGCATGGTCGGCGAGCGTCCTAACCGCTATGCCACCGACGCACTCAGCATCAACAACAAAATTCGGATTTTCAATACAAACGTCAAGTCAATTTTGCTATACGGATCAGAAACTTGGCAGGTCACCAAGAATATTTTCAACAGGTTTCAGACCTTTATCAACAACTGTCTTCGCTCCGTACTGAAGATTAGATGGCCGGAAAGAATCACAAACAAGAAGCTATGGGAACAGACGAAACAGGAACCAATCGCCCAACAAATATGCAGGAGAAAGTGGAGATGGATTGGACACTCGCTCAGGAGGCCGTTGGGTGACATCGCGCGTCAGGCCCTCGAGTGGAACCCGAAAGGGAAGCGGCGAGGGGGACGTCCAAGGGTGACATGAAGGAGATCGTCTGAGGAGGAGATGAAACAGTATGGAATAACATGGATGCAAGCGAAAAGTACAGCACAAGACAGAAGCAAGTGGAGACGTGCAGTTGAAGCCCTATGTTCCACTAGGAACCCAAGGGAACAATAATAATATGATAGGAACCAGCGGTGATTAAACACCTACCAAACTTGAATGAAACCGAGGATTTGCTGTCTGTATATGAATAATATTTGTCAAGCTCTAAAACATTGATATCAGTATCTGCGGGCTTAAAAACCATTGAACCTCTGGATCACAATGAAGGAATTTAGACTTAAGCAAACAAGCAATCGTATTTTTTTGTTATTACAATTCATAAATTTCTGCATGTCTCACCTTTCATTTATTCAAATGCCTTGGGATATTCATCTCATTAGCAGAACACTAAGTCACTGTTCGGGTTAGTATGTAAACATAAATATACGGCAGATAAGATTTCTGCCTTATCCCCGATGTACTTGTTGTCAAACATAAAAGCTCTAACGATTACCTGAAATTAAATTTTTCAGGGTTAAAATATAAAAAACATATTCTGCACTGACTAAAGTCGTTTTCAGATAAAGATATAAATACTCTGACGGGAGTATAAAACAGATCACTGAATAATATTCTAGTACCAGTTTAAATGCAGTGTAGAAGTAAAGTTCTATCTTATGTCATACAGTATTGAAATAGTGTCATAGAAAAATATAAGCTGGAATAGGATATAAACTCCAGATTACTTTCTGGTAGGTCAGCACTAGTGGTACTGTGTTAAACGTTATATGCATGTAGCTTAATTTAAAACTATTTATGTCTATTTCAACTAAACATAAGCGAAACGAGGAAATTTCATTTCACACCTTTGCATCTATAACAAATGGAAATTTACGGATTACAATAACCTGGAATCTCCCAATCCATAAATCACACATACAAACGATTTCACATATGTCGCAACAAATCATTACCGAGACAGACTATCTAAAAAATATTCACAATACACGATTATCCTAATTAAATAGTTAGGCTCCTATTTTCCTGTTGCTGTAGGAACTTGATTTTTTATGTTCCGAAACACCTACCAGTACACCTGAATAAATTTTTCTTCCTTCACGTTCCCCAGTTGAACATAGGGCTTCAGGCTAGTGGCTTAAAGTTTCTGTTGCAGTGTTTATCTTACAGGATGGGGTTGCTAGCCTCATGCACAACCTTTCCTCTTCACTAGCATCATTTCTGGCTTAGCGAGGTAAAGGAGTGCGTCGGCCGGGGATCGAACCCCGGACCATGTGTATGGTCGGCGAACGTCCTAACCGCTATGCCACCGACGCACGCACACCTAAATAAATGAGTCATAAAAATCATAAACAGTCCCATATTAGACTACCTTTTCCAAATAGGCTACAAAGCTAGAAATGGAAAGTCTTTTTCTATCATCTATTGGGTACCAAACAAATTGCCAAAAGCTTCTAGGTACCGAATACTCCAAATATCATAGACGATTGCAATTTGCTTGAAAATAACCAGCACTGCAATTGGTCCAACTACAATAAAAAATAACGAGCACTGAAGGTATTCATTGCAGTTAGGCAGCTTAGGGTTTTTCTAAGCGATTTGAAGTGGCTGTAGTTTTCATCTGAATAAACAGTACTCAATGGATTATGGAAAGTGCCACCTGAAGAAAACTCACGCTGTTGACCTCATTTCCATATCCCACCATGAATATTTCTCAAGAAAGTACTTTTCACAGATGTTATATATATATATATATATACATAAATTTTCTATGAATTTCTCACAATTTATCCCATATTTAAGTGTCTTTATAACCTCAAAAAAGAAAATTTTAAAACACTATATTTCGTCTCACGCACTACTGAATAGAATGTTTAGTACCTTATTTTCTCTCGCACATTAGCATTATTAGTAAATTTACTAAATAGTAAAAATTGTAGTTCATGACAGTTATCATCATCATCTCCAACAAGAAACTATGGGAACATACCAGTGAAGAGCCAATCGTTCAACAAATATGTAGGAGAAAGTGGAGATGGATCAGGCATACAATGAAGAGGCCGCCGAATGACATCGCACGTCAGGCCATCACTCGACTGGAATCCAAATGGGAAGCGACGAGTGGGTCTTCGGTGCTAGGGTGACATGGAGGAGATCGTGTGAGGAAGAGATGACAGAGTTTGGTCAATCGTGAACCCAGCTGAAGGGGACGGCAGAAAACAGAACAAAGTGGAGATGTGTTGTTAAAGCCCTATGTTCCACTCGGAACGCAAGGGAATAATAATAATAATCATCGAACATGAATTTTACCCTGTTGAACACTAGGTTAACTTATTATTTTTTGTTATGATAATTCTCTTGCATATCAAGTGGAACATAGGTATTCATCAGCATATGTCCTTTCACCCAGTTCCCTGCAGTCATTTTCAGCTGGCCCCACGGTTATCCATAAGTCCTCACTTCCTTCTTACAAGATTTCCCCCACGTTAACCTCGAAACCAGGTCCAGATTGTTGTTCCCCACTCAAGACACGTAGTGTCACTCAGTGGTCTCCACAGCGTGTTTCCAATTCACACCCATTTCCTCCGATAAATATTTGCTGGGTGATATGCTCCTGATTGATTTTGTGCCAGAGTTCTTTATTTCTAATTCTTTCTGACTCGCCATCTGATCTTTAGAACGAAGTGCAAGCAGCTGCTGATGAAAGTTTTTAGTAGTCTGTTGGAAGTAATTCTACAAGTCCTGAATAAAAATTGTTTAGAAAACCTATTTAAATAATAATGAATTGCACAGTACACAAAAACAAACGGTTAATGATCTCAGAGTGGCTGTCAGGCGCGAAGATTTTAGTTTTTAACCCGCTTACGGGGAAAAAGGGGTTTCTGTGATCTAACATCAATCAGATTTGTATGCTTATTTCTCTCAAGATTCAATAAATTACATTTTATTCAGTACTGAAGCCTAGACCGAAATAACACTGTTTTCTCTTGAGCAACAAACCACTCGTTTTCATTGTCCTACCAGGCGGGAGGTCCAGACTGACTTCCCTATCGCCATATCCTTAAACCTCAACTAGTCAGTACAAAGCCTGGTAAAATTGGAAAAGATGGGTGCGCGGTTAGCAACCCCCTGCCTTGATCAAAATACCATCATTACTGTCGAAACTTCAAAACTTCAAACCTTATGTTTCAATCGGAAGAAAGGAGAAAAAAGTACGGATAATGGTAATTTTAATAACCATGATACCATAGTTGAAGACAAACATGCTGATATTTATTCTTGCAAAGATTACAGTTCGTTGCACTGGAAATACCCGTGAGAAAACACGAAGTGTTTCTGAAATCATATTTCACATACAAACGACTGAATCTAAATAAGCGAGTAAATATGCAATTCCATATGAAAATTCCTGATATTAATGTTATTTTATTAGCCTTTATCATCTGTTTGTTTGTCGAATTCTTTGGTATGCTCCGGCAGGAGAAAGTTTCCTTCATGAGGTTCAGAGGGTTTGCTTGTTCAATATTTAAAAGTAGAGAAAATAATCAGGTCTTTTATGCAACTACTTTTTGTTTAACCTCTGCTTCCTCCTTACTATACATTCATTTCAGTTTGAAGTGTTGGCTTGTAGGGATCTGATCGGTTTCAAGTTTGATCACGTGCTAATATCAGTAAGAGAACCACTAAAAACCAATCATACAGTATTGGACTAGTTTGGTACTCTTCAATAGTACCAAACCTTGACTTCAGCAGAGATCGGAACCAGAACCTTCAGATTACGAGGCGAGTTCATTGATGATTCAGCTACTGGGACGGAAACCGATTTTACTTGAATTCTCAGTCCATTTAACTGCTGAGATTATTTACAAAGTATATATCATAGTTTACAAGAGATTTACAATAATCAAGAAAGTGGCTATAAATATTTTTTTAGATTCTTCAGTGAATAATGTATCTTATCATCTATGAATGAGTTTCACTTTCTCAGCATTCAGCAAGTTTTCTGGTATTAACGAATCATTATGAGTAAAACAGTCAGGTATCAGCTTACACTAATTCTTATACTAAACTCTATCCATAATTTATATGTGATTCATTATTTTCATATTTTATTAATCTCTCTATTTTATATTTATCATTTAGCTAAGTTCGAGGCACTGAGTGATCCTGAATTGGTGCATCATATGATCTTATTTTCATGTGAAAAACCTGGATCAGAAAATCATTTATGGTGAGTTTTTCATAGGAAATATATATTTTTTTAAAAAGCTAAATAGTTTTTCCCTACACCAACTCGTAGAATGAAACCGTTGTCTTTCTAAACGGAATCCCTCTTCTAAGGGTGTATCTGGAAATCGAAATCCCATGTCATAAATTTATCACTCAAAAAATTAAATCATTCGTTTTAATCTCCTCTTGGTTCAGCAGTAAAAGCAAAACTTGGTTCTTTCATATGGGTGTCTATAAAATCACTGAAATGTAATTATAAGCCATAAAATGAAATAAGATAAAAGGTCAACCTCTAAATTTTTATAAAAATGGACAACAAGCATCTATACAAATTAAGCTACAAAGCAATTCCTACATTATGCATGAAAAATGTAGCTGTTTAACAGGATTTTCGGACAGTTCATCGTTAAACTTAAGCTAAAATTGTTTATGTAACATAAATAATAATTTTCAAAAGATGGTTTGTTAGAATTAAATTTGTTTTTACGAGTTTGACCACGGATTGATATCAGTTAGGCTGAATGTTATGCAAGCTTGCCTTGTAACCGGAAGGTCCTGGGTTCGAACTCTTGCGGCGGGTGCGTGCTACCGATGATTCCCAAACTAGGATGAAACAGCTGGCTGTCCAGTACTCCCTAGTTTTCATTGGTTCTCTAACTGATATCACTCCGTGGTCGAACTCGTAAAAATAAATAATAAAAATAATTTCATTTCTCAGAACATTAATCTAGTCAAAATTTCATGAAATAATGGTAAAGGGATTTTGCCTCCACTCTAAAAGATCAGAAAACTTTAGTGAAGAACACCTGAGTATTATACTGTTATAAACGTTCTGAAATTTGAACAAAGCGAAAACAGCAAATTGAACTAGGTGGTATTGTGTCATTTTATTTCGTTAGTTCTTATCAATTTCACACATAATGTTCGCATGATATAATTAATTAGCTTGAAGATGAAATTCACTTGTATTACGTGATTTAACTGATGAAGAGTAGAAAGAAAAGAGTTACAGGTCAGGTGTGAGGACAAGTGTTAACCGAGGACACTGACTGATAGTGGTGACATATCTCATGAATCCATAAAAGTAAGAACTGATGGGCCACTTGAATCTGTCACAGTGGCTGAACAGTTAGCTAACTCATTTGAAATCCTGGATTTGATCCCTGGTGTATTGATGAAGAGTCCCAAATTCAAACAAAGCAGCTGTCTAGTACCTCTTGGTATTCAGTGGTTCCCCAACGGCTGTCGGTTCGTAAACTAAACTTGGATTCAATTAAATCTTTGTGGACCAAAACTTGAGAATCACAGATATTAGTAAGTTGGGTGGTGTATACAGAAAAGTAACAAGAATATTCTGAAGTTACGACTGGAAGACAGATACTAATTAGAGTTGATAAGCAATAATATATCTCAAGCAAAATTTCCAAATTATGATGGTTTGAAGTAATTAAAAGCAACCAGTTGAGTAGTAACTTCGAAAACAGATCAACGGTTTCAAACGAAGACAGATAAATAGGGGCGGAAAGGGTATCGATTGACACTGTCAAATGTCATGAATATTATAGACGTGAATACTGGAGTGAAATGCAACAAATTAAAATTGTTGCCATTGTATGGAAAGATCAATGACAGTTTCTCTTTAAATGTATAAAGAGGGTTTTAATCCTTTAACCACTATCCGCATCAGGGATGCCTAGTAGACTGGAACTAATTTTCAACTTTTCTATACATATAGTATCATATTATCCTGCTAATTTCGTTGTTCTTGACTTGTTCAAGTTCATCGAGAAGAATATTGCATGAAGACGCTGAAACTTTTACAACTTATATTACATGTGAACTTCAGACAAAAACCCCTAAGACAAGTTCAATGAAAACTGAGTGTTGATTCTTTCTAATTCAATATCACACTAATATGATTCTGAGCGATAATTTGCACTTAAAACGTCATCTGTTTAATAATAGTATATCACTATGTGTGATGTCAAATAAACTTATCTAATAAGGAATTCCATTCTGCTACAGTAGCCAAATTCTATACTTAAATTAATTCATTTCATTTGGATGGAGGGATTTTAATTTTGAACAGTTTAGTTTGTAGGGATCTGGTGTATTTCAGGCTTCATCACAAACTGATATCAGAAAACCAGGAACTTCCGGACAGGTTTCTCGTCCTAGTCTGGGATTCTTTCGCTATACGCAATCTTAACTCTACCAGGAGTCAAAACCAAGACCATCAGAATACGAGTTCAAGATTGTTGACCGTTCAGCCACTTGGGCCGGATTCCAATAAGCCACGAATTCAAATTCCTGTCAGTTCGCGAATTTAGCGAGACTGCTGTCCAGTGTCATCGGGGGGTATACATCCTCAAACCTGACCTGGTGGACCCCACTGGTCAAGACTTCTCACTAGAAATCCAGACAGCTTCTTCCACCTAGCTAGTCATTAGTAAGCATCAGATTAATTTACAAGAGTTAATCTGTAGGGATTTGGTTTGTCTCAGCTTTGATAACGGATTGATATTCGTCAGAGAAGCATTGGAGTCTATATCCTATTAAAGGACTCATTAATGTTTAAGCTAAAATGAACCTACTTTTAGACAAACTACATAATGCTGGTGAAAGGCAAAAACGTTAATCTGAACTGCATTTAGTGTTACTTTTAATGTTACTATCTGTAAACGTTATCATCCTAATGAGAACAAATTAACCTCCGAGGAATATAGTGACTTTTTAAATAGTTAAAAAGATTTTATCACAAATTAACTGAATAATTGTGTGATTTACCAATCGAATTAAACAGTCTTCTTTAATATATCAACTGTTGTGAGGGGAGTTATAATAATAATGATGATGATGGTATTGATAACGATAGTGATGTCCATGGTCGTATTACAATCCTAGCTGATTATTATTAGTGGTAGTAATGTAAACGAAATCGTGTGTTACCTCCTACTTAGAATTAGTCAACTTGATATCGTGTGTACAACACGCTGTTCACGCTGAGATATGACAACAAAACTTAACAAAATCATATTTTTAACGTTAACATAAATGTCTATCTACCTGAACATAGCCGAATGTTAGTTTACATATACATGCATTTTTTGTATGTAAGACTTTCCTAATTTTTGTTCTTAGAAGTGGCTTACTTAGTGTTTTAATTGACGTGTAAGCATTTTTGAGTAAAAGCTTAGATATTTAAAAAAATAATTAATAAACTTCCTGGTTAAGTGTGAGTCTAGTTATTTCTTTGTTACCATTGAGCTGAATAATTTCCCAAGTGTAAACCTTGATAACATATCGATTTTAGTCGATATTAATAATAATTTCTTCCCATTGAAATGCACACTCAAAATTAGTAGTCTATGCAAACAGTTAACTTTCGGTGTTAGTTGAATCATTCAAAAAACACGCATAACAAATTATCAGAAGTTATAATTCATGGCCCATTGGATTCCGTCCTTGTGGCTGAGCAGTCAGCTAGCTTGTCTAGTATCCTGAAGGTCCTAGGTTCAATCCCCGGTGGTGCGGTGATGTGTGGCTACTGATGAAGAGTTCCGAACCAAGATGAAACAGCTATTCAGTACTTTCTGTAGGTCATCAATGATTAATTAGATGATATCAATCCGTAATCAAACTTCAAATTAACCAAACTATCCACCTAGTGTTTTCTGACATTAACGTAAATCACCAACCCAAATAAATCACACTATTTGAAAGAGATTTTTTTAGCAATCAAGTGATTTAGCTACAGATTAATCATAGCTATTATAAAATTAATAATTTGTATAGAAAACACAAAGTTAAAGACCTTCATTTTCTGCGACAATGAACTTCAACTAAATATAACATTTCTAGACTTGTTCATCATCTGAATGCTTTATTATAACTTCTACTAAATTTATTTATGGTTACAGAGGAGTACTGCAAACACCATTTATTATAATGTGCTAGTACGGAGAAAATTTACCATCTTGAGTTATTAATGAAAAGCTAACAAAGGTCACCTCATCTTACTTCTTTTTTTTAAATTCTGTACTGTCTGTTAACTACCAGTTGTAGTATATACCTGACTCAACTATTATAATCACTGAGTTCTTAAACTACTAGAGCTATTCCGATAATTTTTGTGTCCTCACTGCAGAAGTGTTTTTTTTAACGGTGTCTGTCTGCTTCCATTGATTGTGAAAAGATGATTATCAAAGTGCCACTTCATGTAAAATAGAAGTAAAATTTCTAATGGTAACTATTTTATAATGTAAAGTGTAAATGAAATTGATACTTATGAGTCACAAAACTTTGCATGTTTTATACACTGTGCAAAATAATAATGCTTAAACAAGTTCATCATAATAATTTTTGAGAATACCATTTCTAGAGAAATACTAAATTTCTTTTGTTATTATGTTTAAGGACAAAATATTTAAGCATATACAATTTTATTTTGAAGACACTAAACAACACCTGATGGTGTATTTATATCACCCTTGATTCTAATGAATGGTATTCTAGAAAGGCGTAATTATCTTTTGGTCATAATAATGAATTTATGTGGCATACTTTACCAAACAAAATAGCATTAGCGATACAATTTATGACTTAAAATAGGAGAACAAACATTTTCATACCATTGAGCCACTATATGAAGTTAGAACTCTTGGGTCACTGTATCAGAGACTGCCTCACTATACAAGGCTATAATAATAATATCTCTGACTGCAGCACTTATTGATGCAGGTTTGAATCTCTGAAGAGGCATCATCTCTTTTGAGATTGCACAAACGCCTTGCAGATGAGTACCAATAAGCACGACACCTATATCTAGGGCTCCTTACCGATTGCTTCTAACCAACTTACATTAATCCACGGTACACTGAGATGAAAAATCACCTAGCCTGGCAAGTATACTGCAATCTTGACCAATAGAATTTAGTCAGCATTAATAATAATAATTTGCTTTATTCTAGAAATAGTACTAGTGGTACAGTGTGGAATTTTCAGCTCATATCTACAATATTTGCATCTTATTTTATCAAACATTTAAAAGTAGTATTTCAAAAAAAATAAATATAAAGACACCAACAGCAAAAAAAGACAGGAAAAACACAAAATACTCATAGTGATAATATAGTCGGAACCAGTAGATACACAAAAGAAGGAATAGAGTAAAGTACAAAAATGTAAGTCAATGTTAATAATTTAGGTAGCTTAGTATGTTTAAGAAGGAGTTCACTAAAGAATACAAAATAAGAGAGAAATAAAAGAGCCTCAAATTATGTTGTTAACAACAAAGCAAGTCATAGGTTTCGCGCTTAACATTGTCTCTGTCGCTTAGAACACGGACCAAGTATGGTATCGTTGAGTTTCTGTACTTGGTTGTACGAGCATAGATTGTTTTATACTGATTTCTGGTTCTACTTGATGAGATACAAGGCGAGAGTTGGGAATAGAGGGGATGTTGTGGGTCGGAGAGTATGCTTTTAGATCATTTTTCGCATGTATTAACACTAAGAAGAAGACTTATGACGCTGCTTACTTCTCAATAACCAGTCAGTGTAAAGAATCAGCCAGACCAGAGTAATAACCATCAAATGTTCAAAATTAGTTGTGGGACAATGTATTTGTAATCTTTGCCACTAAGGCATTGCATTTTTATTGTATTATGAGTAGTTAATTCATTTTATAACTGTTTTCATTTTGATTCACTAGAAGAATCATTGAGACTGAAAGTCACTGAAGTGTATTTTGTTTTGACTTGAGATTCTTCATGTCACAAAACCTACAGTTCTTTTAGAATTTACAGTATATAGGAACTGGAGACATAAATAGGTAGGAAACTGCTTAAACACTGGAATTGTTTGATACCGTCAATCATGGTTTTTCATACGTAATAGCAAGCTAGTCATTAATTTGTTTGAACAAGGAAAAGAGCTCATGTTTGTTTTTTATTTCATGGCGTTTAATCAGCTGCTAACATTTTAAAATGACATAAGTCATCATAAAGGCAAAAATATATATAACATACTTGGAAAATTATTTCAACTCATAGGGCATAGCAATAATTTTGCTTTTATACACCATTTCTTTCATCCTACCCTCTTGAACTTTCCCTCAACATAAATAAAAAAAGTATCAATAAACTCTAGCTATCACATTATAAACTATCCTGTATTCACATCTGCTGTTCCACCGCTATGCTCCTTGAGTTGAAATGATTTTTCAAGTATGTTATCCATTTTCGCATTCATAATAATCAGTATCATTTTCTAGTTTGTTAGCAGGCGATAAAACTCTGCAAACATTGTTCTTTCTCTCTGTTTAAACTGATCGATTGAACGAGTTGTGTAGAATTTTTGAAGTATAGGATTGTTGTTCATTTATAATTCTATCTTAGAGCAAACATATTAACATCAGAATAAATTTGAACCTACCGTTTATGAGTTTACCACTTCAAGATAGATCTCTGGCAGTTTGAATTAGAATTTCTGAACAGTTGTGTCAATAATATTATGTGGTATAGATGGTGTACAATACAGACCAAGAGATTCAAAATATATACATTTGAACATTAACACAGGGTTTGGCCTGAAGATGTAGGAATTAAAGTCTTTTGAAGTTGCAGGTGTGTTAATTGGAAAAGAATTGTATTTACGGCACGTGACATGTTTCACAACATTAATCGAATCAGATTTCCATGTCGACTACCATCATTATTTCAGTGATATAGACTGACATAATAGCGATACCCTGTATGCACTTATTTACAAATAATATATTTCTACATCATAGGTATATGAGAAAGCAAGTTCATACTTAAAATGTTACATCAGTCTAACGGAGATAATGTAATAAAAGATTACGTATTAATTTACCTCTCATTCTTACTAATCTCAGGACATCATTATTTCCTACTAAACATGCTATTTCCTTCGGAATGAATTCCAAAGGCATGTGTTACCCCCAAGAAAACTTGTTCGATTATTACAATTATAATTTTTTGATGTGGTTGTGTTCCCTAAGCTTGATGGTTTATCTACGAAGCTTTCATCGCCCTACTAGGACACATCTTCAAAGCATACTTCAATTTGAAGTGTTTTTAGATTTCTCCACGAGTTTATAAGTCATCTCTACTGCTGACGTTGAATGTAATTGCTTGTTTTTGTATGTTCTGACATCTTCTAGGCTACTTGTATTGGTACTGATTGTTTTCCTGACCTGAAGTTTAACCCTCTGTGTATAAGATTTACTGCTTATCGATTGTTTAATTTTGTCTATGCCGGTGTGTCTATTAATTGACGATTGACTGGAATACCAGGCTTCTAAAAATTCTCTGGTATTTTTGGTGTTTCCTTTGTCTATTATCTGAACGCTATCCCAGTCGAAATGATATCCGTGGCTGACTGTATGCAGTAACATGAGAGAGTGGATGCCATGTCTTTTGACGGCTAGATTATGATCATGGATGCGAAGACGAAGAGGATGTCCACTTTTGTCAGCGTAGCGTTTTTCACAGTCATTGCAACTTATTTTGTAGATGATATTGGCTTTATCTTCTTTCGCTGTTGAGTCTTTTGGTTGACACAGGCCTGGCTGATTGAAGTGATTTTGTTGGTTTGTGTGTGATAACAATTCCTAAATGTCTGAAGAGTCTTGCATTGATTTCTGAGACGTCCTTTATATGTGGTAGGGCGATTTTCTTTGTGTTTTCCTTGGGGAGAAATCTAAAAGCTCACTTCAAATTATAGTATACGCTGAATATGTTGCCTAGTAGGGCAATGAAAGCATCTCAAATCAACCATCCAGCGCAGGGGACACAACTACATCATAAATACTCTACATGTATGTATATATATAACTTTAGATCCTGAAGAAGTTATCGAAAAGTGTATTCTATGTTCAGTACTCTTTGTTTTGATAAGAACACATTCAATGTTTGGTGCTTAGGATTTTTCAAACTTAAGTCACAATTTCATATCAGTTATAACAAGGGTATTTAGCAATTATTGCCTTGTTTAAGATGTGTTGTATCTTTCGATTAAATTTTTTTTAATCAACCTACTGTATTGTTATCGAATTTCTAGTTATGGTTAGTAGACTGTAGTTGTAGAAGAAATCTTCCAAACTAACAGTTTATTTGAATGAACAGCCTCTTCAAATGAATTATTTACCTACTTCAATTTATGCAGTAAACTTTAGCAAAAATTTCTAGACAATTGTACCTATTCCAAATTCAGAAATAAAAAAGTGTCTTAATTAGTTTGCTCGTCATCTTCAATTCACAATTTTATGGATGAGCAACCCTCACAGATGAGTCGGATAGTTAATTGATAACAGTCATGAGATGAATTTGCTTAGAATAAGCTTAAGTCAGCTTGATAAACGGAAACTCTTTCAACTGCATATGTAGTCATTGAAAAATCCTGTCGGGATATATCGAAAATGAAAACAAATGATTCAGCAAACGGATTGTTTTAAGACAAAAAATAATTAATGTGAAGTGAGAAAAAAATGTTTGTGATTACAATGATAATAAAATATAAGGCGATAAAACAGCTTGCGTAATATATAAAACAGTTCATGGGATGCATAAATCTTAGGAAACAATATAGAATTAATAAGATAAGTAGGTTCATAAGCAAAATTAGAAGTTAGAGAACCATTGGAAAACCTGGGAGTACTGGACAGCTGTTTCATCCTAGTTTGAGACTCTTCATCAATACGCACCCACCGGGATTCGAACCCAGGACCTTCTGGTTACAAGGCGAGCTCGTAGACCATTGAACCACTGGGACCCGAATGTCCTGGGTTCCAATCCCGGTGGCTACGTATTGATGAAGTGTCCCAAACTGGGATGAAACAGCTGTCCAGTACTCCAAGGTTTTCCAGTGGTTCTCTAACTGATGTCAGCTCATGATGAAATCCTCCATGCAATCAGACAAAATCCCTACAAAACCAATACTTGAAAATTAGAAGTTTCATAAGATAACATTGCAAAATTTAGACTGAATTAAATTATTAAAGCGTGACAAGTGAGATAGTACTGGAAATTATTCTAAGTGAAAATAATAATACAGACAGAACTAATAATGGCGGAATAAGCAGATTAATTTCAACAAAACGAAAAGTAAGGCCAGAAGAGAAGTGAGGAATGTAGTATTCTAGTATAGAATGCAAAACAAGTAGAGGTTGATCAAACTTCTTCTGTCTAGAGAACTCTGGCTTCTGTGTATCGATGGCTAATGCATCAGCGATACAGATATGCTAAGTATCTGCATAGATTCACTTCGTTTCTTGGAAGTGATTTATACGTAGTGACATGGGTTTTAGTGAGACAAATGGTATTCATATAGAGAGAATGTATTAAGTATCTAAATTACACCAACCACTTTCAAAGATGATTATATAATATTAGAAGATAGTAAGATAGGTGATGTATCACTTGCCGGATCATTTCAGCGTATCTTATGCTCTGTGTTTACATCAATTTTACTTTAGCTATATCTGAGAAATGTGTAGTTGTCTGCAATTCCTTATCTTAAAATATGACTTTCAAAATTTGCTAGTACCGCTGCTGCTAGGTATGATATAATTAATCACTGAACACCATTAGTATAATACGGCGAATAAAAACAGAAGCTTTATGCTTTTCCTATGATGTTTTTTTTCCTGTAAAATATTAGTTATTAAAAATGCTATAACTGGTGGATATGCCCTTACTTAGGACTCTACTTATGTCATATGAATGAATGTGTTTTGTCAAATCGATTTCTCAAAGACTCAGTTTAAAAAAATGTCAAGTTTATAATAAATAATTATTCATGTAATAGAGTATATTTATTTATGTGAAGCTTTTGTTTTTTCTAGGAGATGCGATGGAATGTCTACTGATACATCACCTGTATGCGAAGGAACTCAAGAAATTGTATTCGCCTGGGCGATGGGGGCTCCATCATTTAAAATGCCAGAAGGTAAATAACTTATTTCCCTGAAAATAACTAACCTTTGAATGGTATACCGACTGATGTTGAACGGTAGTGACTATCTTCACTTCAGTCATCTATCAATCTTATTATCATCATGAGACAAAATGTTACATTTTTGAATTTAGAAGTCTTCAGTTATTACGCAAATAGTGATTTTCACACACACATATTTAACTAATACAGAGGTTAGTTAAGATGAAAGTAGCTGGTTTATGGAACACTGTGTAAGACATGATTTCAGAGTGTAATTACATCGTACCGATAGGTCGCAATAAACAAGAAATTTCAGTGTTCATTCTATATGTAATAAGAAACACGTTTCTCTGACAGCGAAATATTATTTCTGCTTGCTATCAAATTGTTTCAAATAAGTTCCAAAACTGAATGTAAATTCTTTTCTGATTTTTTTCAATGCGTTTCAATGTATACCGCTTCTTTTTTATCTTTCCCTCCAAACACTAAGTATCCCTTGATTACAATTTATATAAAAACTATTTCTTAACAGCCTGATGGTTATTTCTTCAGATCTATTTTTCTGTTGCGTTATTATGCATGTCCTCAGATATTCACATTTTTGGAAGCCTAATTTCATTAAATGTAGAAGATGCTTAACTTTACTAGTATAATGTTTGCCCCGTTGAAAGCAACATGCCAGTAGCATGCTGATAACTGGCAAAAAAGAATTGTATTATATTACAAATTTAACTTTTGTTAAAGCAAGAAGAACGAAGTAGATCCTGTTCTTTCTGTGTTGACTTTAGATGATCAAGATAACACATTATGTGAAATTTAACCTCTTTTATTCTGTTTAGATGTATCTATAGAGGCAAATATGTAATATCCGATTGTTTGTTAGTAAGTATGAAGATAAGAAGAAGTTTTCAGCACATCTGTTGAGTTTACTCTTTCTTGTGTTTGTCCTCATCAAGGTGTGTCGTGTAAAGTTGGCTTGGGAACTCCAAAGAAATACTTGGTCTTGCAAATTCACTATAAAAGTTCAGCCTCATTCGAGTCAGATGGTAAGTGATTAAGTGTGTGCAAAACCGTAATGAAATTATTAAAATACCTACCTTTTGTAGAGAATAAAGTAGATACGAGTGGAATAAAACTTACTGTACAAACGACACCGTAAGTCTTCTTGACATTTATAACTCTGAGTACTATATTGAGTGTTTTTTTATAGAAATGTAACTGCATGGCTCTAACTAATTTATTATCAATCATACAACCTTATTTCAGTGCTATGTTGCAATAAAAAGCTATTTCACTTAAAATGGTCTACATTTCATTATTTTAAATTAATTTGAGACGACATCCAAAGTATTTATCCATTTCTGGACATGCCAGTATCAAGAGGAATGACAAGAATAATCAACGCACTGATCACACAAGAAAATGTCCACTATAAAAGTACTCACAACTTAACATTTATTCCATACATATGGACAGTTTTAACTGGAACTGATTAAGATTTAGTGGCAGGATCACATATTTAGTAAGTGTGCAGCTTTATATTTGAGTTAGAATTGAAGATAATATAATCACGTAAAGTCGTGGATTCGTTGCCTCCATCAAAACAAAGTAAGTCCACAACCAAATTATCCAACTCAGTGAACACAACAACACTAAATATACCCATGTGAGAAACAAATCTTCCTTATTATTTCTGAATATTACAAGTAGACATCGCCTTTTTCCACTCATGCTACGTATTACTGATTGATTGTTACGGGAAGTGGGATACGACTCACATCAGCTAGTAGTGCTTGCTAAACAAATTACAATGTTCTAAACAGAGGACATCCGTTTCATTGGTTTGTGGCTGAGCTCGTCAGCAGTGTATCGGGTTTGATTCAACTCAGACAAGTGAGTCAGTCTAAACAACTCGACTGATAATCTGTAGTGGATAATACTCCGAAACGATTTCTGTCAAATCAAGGAGACATTTCACAGGATGCTATCTTATTTATTAAGTGAGCAAAAATATGAAAAATTAACAGTCGTAATATTTCACTGCATAACTGGGGGAAATCGTTAAGCATAATCCGTCTGCTCCACTGAGAACGACTTTGAGCCGTAGCACCAATATTCTCCAGCCATTCTCAATTGACACCTCAAAAAATTCAGTCAGGTAGTGTAAACCTCCCTATTTGGCTCAAATTGACAATCAAAGACCTCATGGGCTGAAAACAAGTTTTTATTCGACCATTATTAACTCCTTTCCAACCTAACATTGCTCGACAAGAAAGGCAATGACTCAATTTACTTTTGAATACCTAGAGGATTCACGGTCTTCGGACAACTTCCATGCTTAAAATTCATATATCTAGATATGGTATGTTCTTCGGTGTGAATTAAGTCTAAATTCTTATCCGTTCAGTTCAGTCTGTGTGCATTGGTATGAATTGTATTTCATATCTACCCAATATCTAAATTGTTACACAAGTCAGAAGGGAAATCTTTCTATTCAGTCTCACGTATTGATTTGATTTAACCTACACGTTTTTCTAGGTTTCCAGGCCGTAGGTGTTACGAACTTCCTGAATTAATAATTTGAGCGCGAGTCAGATTGATTCATTATAAATTATTTAAATTAATCCAAGCGTGTTAAGAAAAGCAGATTTATTCGGATTTTTATTAATCATGATTAATAAAAATCCGAATAAATCTGCTGAAGAAGCTGTGGCTTACACAGCGAAACGTTCAGAAAACAGATCTTGTTTTGATTTTCTTAACACGCTGGGATTAATTTAAATAATTTATAGTAGACGTTTTTCTGTTAATCGAGATCTTTTTTTATTTGAGTTAACTGGAGATATTAAGTTACTAATGTTCCATGTAAATGTTCTAAATACATCTTGTTTACGATTATTATACTTGTTAATGTTTACAGAACCAATAAATTGTCTGGAGTGTATCTACTATTTAGCGGTGGTAAAGTTCTACCTAAACAGACAAGTGAGTGATACATTCTAATTTTCCTATTGATTAGTTATACTGGTCTATCACAATTAATTCGACAGTAATTTTTTCTGAATATTTCATATTAAAATAAGCAATCCTTACATTGAGTCAAGTGTAACCGCTTAAACATCTTCCAGGTTACAAAGACTAATAATAAATACCTGGATGATTTACATGTTTTATTTCATGAGTGTGCTGTTGTATGATATAGGGTTTTGCTTCATTGAGCTTACTAATAAAAGACTGGCGCGAAGTCAATAGGTTAACATGATCTGCACAATAGATCGGTGGCTAATAAACTGTGAATTAGAGCTTTGCTGTTATGCTAAACATTGGTGTAAGCATAAATGTTTAGAGAGTTGAAGTAACTTGAATGTAAATGCCAGTGTAGGTGTATGTAAGTCAATTCTTGAAGTCCGTGTATATGTGATCTAATTCGTCAATGTTAACGTAGGAATTTCCTAGGTACAGTACTCCCAGTAAATTTATATATTAATATAAGTTCGCATTCATTGTGCTTATAAATTTAGATTCACAACTAGAAAACTCATTAGGTAAACTTTGAGGGCTTAGAAAGTAATCAATTTATGCAATGCATGTAACAAACTAGTATATGAATAAATTCACATTCATTTGTTTTTAGGTTAATGTTGCATATTTTGTTGATTGATTATACTGGAACAAAATGTTCGGTCTTTGTTGACATATCGACTCCTAATATGGACACCTAAGCTCTCATAGCCCCATGGATAATGCTTCATCGCTTGAAACGGTAGGTACAGGGCAAGACTTTCAGGGAGAACACAATAACTCAGTAAGGATTTAGGTACATTCGGTTGTCCCAAATAGAATGAATCGGGCCTCCTGGATTCCACTGCATGACAATGCCAACAAAAATAACTTCACATTTAATTAAAAATAAACTCTTTCAAGATAAGAATTTGCCAGCTGGCTTTAAGAAGCACTATTGAACAACACTGAGTGTCTCTGTGTATCTCCTTCAATACTAAGGAGGTGAAATGTCAAGACGTAGCCAATGCTAATATAAACCAAGTTGAACAATATAGTGTTATACATTGAAGAATTCTTTAATTCCCATTTAATTGTTTGAACGAATCAAATGAGTGTTATCTAAACAGCAATAAGTTCAAATTTCATCAAAATAATTGAAACCCTTCAGACTTCGATTGACATATACCTAGAAATTAATACATTTCACCTGTCAGTAAATTCATCCATTATTTCAAAATCACCATGTTCCCTTTCTTTTTCTAATCAGCTAAACTTGAAATGAGTTGCATGTATAAAGGCCAAGCTACACTTCACCCATTCGCCTACGGTGTTCATACACACAGCCATGGTGAGTATATGATTAATTTGTGAAGTCATTTATTTTATTTTATTGAACAAAGCAGAAATGAAACCGTATCAGGATAATATAAGCTCATGTTTTACTATTCCGAGGATTCTTCTTAACGGACTACAACCTGAACAATACGTTATTTTTTATGCACTTAGTCATTTACAATTAAATCGATTCGGAACAACAGTTTTATATGAACTTCACATAACCTGGAGTAAATAGCCACACGATTCTTTTCATCCGTAATCCTCATTCTTATAAGATTTACTCTTTAGAAGCTCAGTTTATAAAAACAGAGATGCTTGTGTGTTATTGGAAAATTACGTTGTAAACTTTCCATTGTATATTCACAGATATCACCCTTTGTATTAAGATATTCAACTGCCAACAGATCAGTTTTTAAGTTACCGACGAAATCATTGAGAACATCAGTTTACAGCTTCACTAACATACTGTCAAAATAACTGAAAAATACCCAGTTTAAGTTTTCCATAATCTGATGAGTTGTGCAAGGATCTCTTCAGACCTAAATTATGTTGACATGCAGAGATGAATACTAACTACTCGCTTGTTGTCCCCACAGTACTGGAAAATCCCAACAGAAGTCAGAAAGGCAAGGCTGTTTGCTCTAGAAAAAAAGACATTTTCTGATAATATAACTATGTATACAGTTGTCTCACAGTATTATCAACTGCGAAGTTAGATTTATGGAGATTTGTTAACAGTACACTAATAAAATTGGTTTGAAACTTACGAAAAGGATATTGAGCAATGATAAGATTTTCAGTCCGTTTCACAGCCCCCTTTGTTTAATTTTTTTCTTGCCAGTTAGTGTTTCCACATGGAGGACTACCACAAGATACTGCAGTTTGGAGTTTTCAGCGTTTCCATTTTTTAAGGAATTTTATGAGCGCTGTTTCACCTACTAATATATAATAAAGTAGTAAATATCACCATAGAAAAAATATTTAGCTCTGTGGTCGCATGTGATTTTCTCAGTTTGCCAAGTAGCATAGAATGTATAGACCCTTATTTCGTATATTAGTTGATACTTAAATCAGTTCAGCTGCACTGAAAGATATTCGCTTTCAGGTATAGACCTTCTACTTTTGAGAATGCTTAGCGTCGCGATGAATTCCTCAGTCATAATTCCATTCTTTTGTTTTTGGATCTTATGGAGTTTCTCCAAATACATGATCTTACCTAATGATTTTTCCAAAATTTGCTTCTTATCAGTTGACACTGACAAGCAGATGTTTGTGATTCTGCAGCTGTGTCAGTAGATTTTTTTTACTGCTGGCATTTCTGATCAACTGTAGAGGTTGTTTCTGGAAATTTTCATGGTTCTGTTGCCACTATTATTTTCCCATGTTTATTATATAACATTGAGTCCATGCAATTTTTGAGGAATATGTCTAACAATTTATTCATTGTGTTTAGTATTGGAAGCAGGCCTCAAAAATCGACCGAAATACAAGATATTAACTACTATTTAAATCGAGTTTAAGAAAATTAGTCAGATAATTTTTTAGTCTGCTTTTTCAACTGTCTTTACAGTTGCATTTATTTCTGGCCACTTTTTAATTTGAAGATCTGACTGAAAAATGGATGATTCCGTTATTGTTTACATGCTTTCTTTCAACTAGGCGTTTTGAATGAAGGATACGTTCTTGAGGACAAAAATAAATATTTGATTGGATCCAAATCACCACAAGTTCCTCAGGTGAGCAATGAAACAATTGTATTCCATTCACATTTCATTTAAAGACTGTACAAACGTCGTTATATTCAGGAATAAAATAATGACTAAATATGGCGCTGAAGATGTTGTCCACTATTAATTGCAAATGACTACATGTGCTGAATACTAACTCTGACGATAAAACAGTTATACAGTCCTACCCATTATCCTGGCTGCTAGAACTCTTTACATCTGATTGCCATTATGAAATTGTTCCTCATACTGAATGACATGAATAAAATGTTGGGCCTAATTTACAGGAAATTTTTAAGAAATAAGTTAACTGAACAGAGATTTAAGCAACAATTCAAGTAACTCATATCACTGTCACAAGATAATTTCGGCTGGGAAACTTCGGGAAACAAGAAGAGCCATGAATAACAGTTCCACATTCATCGACAAGTATGAAAAAATTTCCATGTTATGTAGATTAAAAAGACACAGTTTAGCAAACAGTTTATTCTTTTCTTAGCTTCACTTTAAAGCTGTACAGAGATACAATATTCTGAAAGTTCACAGAAACATCTATGAAGGTCGTCTGTCTAGATCATTTGGTAATAAAACACGGAACTACATAGGAAGCGCTATTATGAGTAGATTACGGACCTTCATCAACTCTGATAAGACCTCCGACAGCATTGACTGTGAAGTAATTGTGAAACCATATCAACACTGAAAAGTGATGCAAACCTTTGTCAACCTTATTCAGCAGCTATATCAAAGTGTCGCATGTCATGGGACCTACAAAGGAAAACTCAGCGAAACCTTTTAAGTTAAAACAGGAGTAAGACAAGGCTGTCCACTACTGTCACCGACGATATTTCTAATTTTGGTAGACTGGATTATGCGTCAAACTATAGGGAGTGAGAAAACAGGAATACGTTGGACCGATAAGAAAACTCTATAATATTTGGACTTCGTGGGTTATTTATTCCTGATGTCACACAGACTCGATGACCTACAAGTGAAAATCAACAAACTGGTGGAAGAAGCAGCAAAGAGAGGACGTTGAGTGAGCATAGGAGAAATAGAGTTGATGAAGATAACCAACCAACAGCAACAACAACCAGCACCAATCACCATCGACGGGAGAAATTCGAGAGATGTTACTTCCTTTTCTCACTTAGGAAGCCTCGTCTCAATTGCAGGCATTCGGTACGGGTAAGGATATCAAAATCAGGATTGGAAAGGCAAGATAGATCTTCCTTACTCTCAAATCAGCATGAAAATTGACAACAGTCAGCACAAAGAACAGGATTCAAATTTTCAACACTGATGGAGCTGGATCGGCCACACGTTAGAGAGACCGCTGAGATACATCATGAGCAGTGCGTACCGTCGAGTGGAACACGAATGAGAAAAGATGCGATAGGCTTTCAAGGGTGACGTGGAAGAGCCAGTGTAACGAAAAGATGAGAGGTTATGAGTAATTGTGGAGGTATTTAGAAAGGATTACAGAGAACAGGCTGAAATGAAGATGTTCTGCTAAAGCTCCATGTTCCATTCGGAAACCAAGGGAATAATAATCATAATAGTTTTACTTAATCTAAAAACACTAATTAATTCATATACAAACTGTTTAATGCGTGGCTGGAAAGTAGAAGAAAATGGCCCCAGTATTTGTCGTTCTATGGACTGAAAAGCTTTTTAAAACTGTAGCCAAGTGATTTCGTTTCCGGCTAAAAGAAGACAATAATCAATATCTTCCAGATGGCAACTGATGAAGATAATTGTAGGATGGTTACACCAGACTACATGTGATATGACTTTCGCAATCTGCTCTTATTATTATTATTCCCTTGGGTTTTGAGCTGACCATTGGGCTTCAGAAGAAAGTCCCCACTTCACTTTGGTTTCTGCAGTTCTCTTTAGCTGGCTGACTCTTATTTATAACAAGTTTGTAATGGTGATAATACTTTTCAATACCTAAAATATAGTAATAATTTCTTTACTTTTCCTTCTTATTTCAGATATTTTATCCAGTGGAGAACAAATCGCTTGAAATACATAATGGTGATAACATTGTATGTATAATTTTGCATAACATCATAACTCTTCTTCAAACATTTATTTATATTTTAGGCAGCAATGTGCATCATGAAAAATGATGAAGATAGAGTTATCCCAATGGGGTAAGCGTGAAGTTGATGCATAAATTCTTAGCAAAATATTGTTCAAAAAAGCAAATGAACACAGATTTTTTCTCAAATGGATATATATATAGGCTTTATTCCACCTTCTCTTGAAATCTTAATCAGCACTTTAGGTAGGTAGGTAGGCAGGTAGTTATAAGAAATGTGTTATTATTGTTTCTCTTAGATTTCGTTTGTATACATTGATCGATTTATAGAGGAACTAAGTAGCTGAGCCTCTGATGGCTGTACTACCTATGAAATCTCATTTACCGTAACTTGCTTTCATGTGACTATTTGATTCTACCTAGCTGTGGTAACTTAACTGGATGTTACCTTTTTATAAGGTTTACCGAAAGACTGTTTATAGGCTAGTTAATTCTAGAACTTAAACAGCTATCGGTCAGTCTCTAGCATTTTCTGTTCAGTCTTTTGTTTCTGTTTCATTTCTTGACTAGTTCCCACCTCGAAAACTAACGAGCCATAATCTTGTCTCAGTTTCAGTTTTACAATAGTTCGTAGTTTGCTTGTTCGGTTTTCATGATGCCTCTGTCGTCCATTAACTTGATCTCTTTTAGTTTATGTGATGTTGAATCCTGTATGTCTGTTACCTGTTATTCATCATCTTCCACAAATTATTTTTTGTATCTTGAATTCACTTTCTGAAATGGTGATAATTTCTCAGTCATATTCGTGTTCATCAATGTCTGCATACAGGGCAATAGATGAGTTCATATTAGGATGTTATTACTGCCAACTGGTGTTTTGGATAGTTTGTGATTATGTGTAAGGCAAAAATACTGTTTAGTAGAAAAAATACAATAATTATTAGGTAAAAGGCACCTTGCAATGATTTCATGGTGTGCAAATAACATCACCCATTCGGCATTTGAGAGAAAACAACAAGAAGCTCATCAGAGATACCTGTTTGGTGATTTCATCCCCAAAAGCTATACTGTAGCATTTTTATACATAAATCCACGTAGACACAATTATTATTTAATTCAACACAGTAATGAAGAGACGTCAAAGAAGATAGTAATTCTCAGCTTGATGTGAAGGCGTGTGGGTTTGAATATGAATCACAATGGGGCGTAGAAACAGATTTATATAGGATTAGAAAATAGTTGTGTAATATGTAAAATGTGCGTCGGTGGCACAGCGGTTAGGACGCTCGCCGACCATGCACATGGTCCGGGGTTCGAACCCCGGCCGACACACTCCTTTACCTCGCTAAGGCAGAAATAATGCTGGTGAAGAGGAAAGGTTGGGCGTGAGACTAGCAACCCCATCCTGTAAAATAAACACTGCTACAGAAACTTCAAGCCACCAGCTTGAAGCCCTATGTTCCACTGGGGAACTTGAAGGATAAAAAAAATATGTAAAATAGTTTTTGACGAAGTGTGTAAGCGGCGTGGGAGCAGAAGTAAATTGAAATAATATTATGCACAACCCACGTTGAAGAAATGAAGCCGATGGGAAAAGGTTAACTAATGAAATGAACAGAACTAGATCTACGGTAAATATAGAGGCTAGATTAGTTTCTTTTTAACACATCTCCGGCTCCTGAATGCACATAGCGAAGGCTTCTGCATTGTAAAGAAAACGGAAGCGTACTGCAATTAGTAGATTTTTGTTCACTTTGTAACTCACTTCCAATAATGGGTCAGTCGAAATGCTGTGGCATTGCTGAAGACATTTTCAATTATAACACTTCTTCATACATAGAGCGCTTCTTTTTGAACTGGTGCGGCCTCACAGCATTCATACTGGGTAGTGTTCTCCTTGTTGTCTATTGTTTATTCAGTTCTTGAAATTTCAACTTCCTTTCACGTTTCTTTTCCGTGACATTTTTATTATCTCTTCTCCGAAAATATTACTCTAGTCAATGTTTGTATCTATTTACATGTAGCACACACCGGGCGATTATATGACAAATACTTGTTTGAAGCAACGCCACCGTTATCCGCTGGATATTAGGACCTTTCAATAAAAAAGTGGCAGCCTGCTGGAATCACTGCGCTACCTAAGCTTTCTATTCATCAAAATGCATCGTTTTTACTCCGTTTCAAGTTGTTTTAATCTTCTGAGTCTCATTCTATACTGGCATACAATTTCAAGTAACTCACTACTTATTGCCAGGAGATTTTGAAGGAAATGAATGAAGAACATTGTGGAGTAGCATTATAGCAAGCATACTTTGGATGGAACAACACTGTCTCAGTTGATACATCACAGATCATTACATTATTTGAAGACTTAGCACAAGGCGTAAACACCTCGCAATATAACTCGCTGAAAATTCTGTATTGTGTATAAACGGATTTTTCAGAATTAAGCTATTATCATCATTAATATTATCGTAATTAAATAAGATTAAATATACTAAGATGATTTCATGGAAACTGAAGAACACACACTTAACTCTTTACCTTACTGCATCCTTTAACCCATTACGTTGAACAGATATCAGTATCAAGCAACATTTTCTGATTAAAATAGTACAACAAATGAAATGCAGTTCAAGAATATAATGCCAGTGATAAAATATGCATCAGAAAGTAATTTTTAATGTAGAGTTTCATTCAAGAAGCACACAAAAATACAACTTGTCATTAAACCACCATAGCAACAGGATACGACGCTGTCATTGACGGGGATACGTAATCAAGCCACTTGCACACAACGCAATACAAGTTATCTAAGATATTTATAAACAAATTAGTTGAAATATAATACCCCCTTTATTTGTTTTTCTTCTAACTACGTCAATTTATTCATATTACTGAACAATTTTAAAACAGAAGTACACGTCAGGATGAAATGTGCTACTTCTACATGATGTACTGGGTTGACAAAGACAATGAGGATCAGCTGTATGATGAAAAAAATCAAATTTGCTATGTCGGTGACGAATCGGATATTGAGAATGAAATGAAAAATATGTGTAAGTTAAATTTTATTTATTAATAAACTTTTACTAGCATGTTTATAAATGACATCAAGGGAAATTATTTTTAACTTTTTTACTTGCTAAAGATGACAGGACAACCATGATGTACTTGCGATCGCCTTTTTTTCCTTCTTAGTGTTTCTTATTACAGCATATCCCAGTAGCTGGTTTAACTTAAATCAGGTTATCAATAAATCTTTTCTTTTCACAACCGTCTTCTATCAGTCACAATAGTTTTCAACTGACTAGTTATCTAATTTTATGCAAATGCGTACAAAGGCAGATTACTAACTCATAACTTCTTTAGTTATGAGTCCCATGTCTTTTAAAAAGATATTCGAATTTGGTTCACGGCTTCTCTCGGTAATTTCAACTTCTTTCCCTGTCTTCTGAAAAGATATTTCAATTCCAATTGTGATATAGGATGTAGTACTGGAAAGTTGTTGATATTCCAGTAGAAACTAAATTTAACTGACATGTTAACTCATTACTTTATCATTATAATTATTTCAGAACAAATTACCATAAGAGGTATTAGTTTATAGTATATAAGTAAATTTATTTGAAGTCTGTGTGGTAGTCAGAGTGTACTGGGAAACTTTAAAGTATTCATTGAAATCATTACTTCTCAATTTCCGGTTGGGTGATTATATTTAACTGAAATGCTAAGTCTCTGCTGATATATTTCTAATTCCTTTACGTTCCCAGTGGAACATAGGGCTTCAAGCTACAGTTCTGAATTTTTGGTAGCAGTGGTATTCATTTTCACGGTATGGGGTTGATGGCCTCATACCCAACCTTCCCTCTGTACCAGTTTTATTACTGGTTTAGCAAGGTAAAGGAGTGCGTCATCCGGGAATCGAACCTCGGACCACTTGCGTGGTTGGCGAGCATTCTACCACTGTGCAACCGACGTACCTCTATTAATATATCGGCTCCAAACAGTGAAAAATTGTGAAACACTAAAGTATCTGATAAGACAGTTCTGAAATGAGGTGAAATCTTTCGTTGTGACCAGAAGATGTCAAAAGAAATTCAGCGGGAAGCTGGTGAACTAAAGTTGGTGCTAAACACACAGCTTCTAAAGTTTTATTTATAACTGTAACTAACTTTATTATTTACCAGTGGTGAAATAAATCACCAATTCAAGATAGATGATGGTATCTATCAGTAATAATTACACTAATTTAAAATATGCAAACCTAAAATTTGAAAAATCTTTTTTAATATTCATCCAATGAATTCAGTTATTATTTGTTTAGGTGGAATAATAGATGCTGAAAATTTTCCCTTATTTCTTTTTACGAACTTATTATAAGAATATAGAGTAAAAGTGCACCTTTAGAAGTTTTTTTCTACCTTTATTTCTAACTGCCCGCTCTTTACATTTATGCTTTTTGTTTTACTTTGGTGTTGTTGAGTCGAAGGTGTTGTCTAGGACTAAGATGAAATCATCTCAGTAAAACAGTTCAGCCAAGAGAAAGCGGAACCACACTAAAATCTCTCACTTCAGCTGTAAATCTTCTCCATCATTTCAACTTATTACTTTTACTACACTAGTAAACTTGGTATTTATTATTATTCCCCTGATGTTCGAGTGGATCATTGGCTTTCACCAACACATTCTCATTTCATACTATTCATGTCAGTAATTCTTAGCTTGCCCCCACGATTGTCCATAAGCTTTCCTGCTCTCCTAACACGATGTCTTCTATGTTACCTTCGCACTCATGCTCAACTCGCCGTTTCTCATTCGGGTTTCACAGAAGGGTCTGCATTGCGAATGACGTCACTCAACGATCTCCTCGGCATGTGTCCAATCCATTCTTATTAGCCGACTTCCTTGCCAGAGTTCCTCGCTGCTAATCCTTTCCATCCAGCCACTTGATCTTCACTAGGGAGTGATGGGAGCAGCTGTTGATAAAATTCTTCAGCAGCCTATTGGAAATGCTTTCAGTGGGGCGCTGAGTCTCAGAACCATATAGAAACACTGACTTTATATCAGTGTTTACTAGCCGGTACTAAGTCCAGAAAATTAACCTATTCGCTACAGAAATTTCAAAGTAGAGAGAAGACATTTGAATAAAACAATGTCAAGATTTTAAATACTGAAATTCTAAATTTATACTCATTTAATGAAAGTACACCATAAATATTTAATAAATTTACTGAATAACTGACAAAAGAAGAAGAATATGTGTACAATACACTGCAGAATCTGAAGTCTGAAGTACTTTCCACATAATTTAACAGGTGTTCAGACAACAAGTAGATGAGTATAGTTTACAAATAATTAAGAAGGGTATACTCTGTTCAAAAACTAAGCCAGCAATTACTCCACGACTTCTTTTTGACAGGTATACTACTTGTAAACACATTTAAACAATGTATTGATAGTGTAGGTTGTCTACTTAACTTCCTCAGTTCCATGCTTTTACTGCCATTTAATGTTTGCACTTTTCTAAATTTATTAAATCTCCGGAATTCACCATTTTCACTTTGTGATATATATGGTCCAACATTATTTTGTTGCAACCTGTCCTAAATGATACTTTGTCAATTTTTTGAGTTCACAGTTATCGGTAAAAGTAATTTAGAAACGACTATTTGTGTCTATCGTCAATGTTAGAAAGGAATTTACCAATGTATCACGGAGTTATATCCCATCTTCGTTTGCTTCTCTAGTGTTATCGACAGATACAAGCAAAGTATGCTTCGTGGTAAACATTACATTATGGTAGTATACTGAATTAAACAAATAAAAACAAAAGAGCAGATTCTAGCAACATTTAGGGTATTTAAGAAGATTCTTTCAATGTTTCTACTGTTATCACTGTTTAAATCATATCAAATGTAACTCATTATTTGAAAAGTGATTAGTAGTTGAGTGTTATGATAATAATCTCTAGAAGAAACTTGCCTCTAATAAATATGATTGTTTTTAATCAATAAAATAACATGAAGTACTTTTAGGCATCCTCTTTGTAAACATAATCAAATAGCCTAATTTAAAAAGTACTAATCACTTCAGGTAACTTTTTCTTATCTTTTTTATTAGATGAATTATCCAGTTCACAATTCCCCTGGACAGATTTTGATTTTCAAGCTGAAGTAGACGATGAACCTTTATTTGAATTTAACTGATTTCATCAACTGACAACCGTTGATAGCATAAGATATACAAAAACAGTAACTCAGAGTTTTGCCATTTGAAAAGCTGCTATTAATTTCTGTGATGTGTCCATTTGTGTTTGTCTTTGCATTGGTCATATTTTGTATCGTATTATTTTGTGAACATTTGTCTCTGTTGAATTTTTATTTGTGCACATTTTTTGGCATTGTTTAACTTCTCTTTCGACTGGTTCTTCTTTGGAATTCTTTTTTATTTATTAACATTCTATAATTTAAGAGATTTCAGTTGGTTTTTTTTGTTTCTATTAACAGTATTACTTAAATATATTACACTCATCCAACTGTTTTCTATTGCAAAAATATTGAAAACAAAGTTGTCTTATCTTTTGATTTAATGCTTTGTGAGGGTTGAGATGAAAAATGAGTTTCATGAAATAAGTATATCATGAGTAGAGCATAAGTGATGACCAGAAGATAATTACTGTCATGATTTAAATCTGAAGGTAGAGAGGAGGTTACCTTCCAAGATAAATGACTATTTCAGAAGAAGAAGTTGTCGTGTTTCATAACTGTTAACCTACAGATCTAAAAGGGAAGTGTAACACTACCAGCATCGAAAATTATACATTCACTTAAATTCAATACTTATCATTATCGTATTAATATGTGTTCATGAATATTCTCCTAATTGGGCATCGCGTAAACTTGATTTGTAGGACATTCTATCTTTTCATTAACAATATCAGATCACGCGTAAATGTGTAACAGAAAGAAAATCAAAAACCGTAATTGCACCAAGAAAGAAACAGCTGATGAGAGTACTAGTAAAAGCAGTTGTAAAATGAATGTGAGATTTGATATACGAATAGAACCTGCGCCATGTAGTAGAGTATAATTCCAATAAATAATACTGCATAGCACTGTGAAAGTTATGCAAATAAAATTTCCTTCATACTTAATATAAAACAAACAATAAAAATATTGTAACTGCAGAAGGCAGGACACGGAAGCCAAGGTATATTTCCAGGTGATCAAACAGCCATTTATATCTATACAGTTTATATTCTTCAACCAATCACTGTGCGTTTGATTTTAGTTTACATGAAATAGACTGTTCAAATATAAATAGTATTCTGTTGCTACTGTAGTACTGAACTGTGGGAATAGTATTCAGACGTCAACATCAGCCCAATACGATGATTCTTACCGTGAGAATAATATTCCATTGGAACCCATTGTCTGTATCACACCACCACAATATGAAACAAAATTAATGACATAATCAAGATTTGGATGGAATTTCTATGTCTTGATCAAAATGATCATTTGAAGTTCTGTCGTACAAATTCGTAAACTACTGATCTAGTTATGCATTTCAGACTCTAATTAAGCAACTCATATTTCCCTGACAATTCCAGCTAAGAACATCTTACTTGTGTGTACTGAAAACATGTCTCAGTTCATATACTGTTGACGCATTTCATATTTTTCTTTACCTGAACTAAAAGAGTGCATGTCAATGAAAGACGACTGCCAGATAGAGCACATACTGTTTTCAAAAAATGTATGAAAGATTTTAAACGAATAAGAGGATTTACTTATTTTACTGAATACTTTACTCATAACTTCCGCATAGCTTGAAATCTGGATCATACTTGACTCATGAGCACAAAAGAGTAATGAAATACCTTACACCTTATCAAATTTTCTTTGCACCTATATTAGGGCTTTTGCGTAACGCATCTGGTTTCCAACTGAAAATGGAGGGCTAGGTCATTTCAGGAAATAAAATCTTCTGGCAGATACCAGTGTGTCTACTTTTATTTCTGCTTAAGTATTTTTACTTACTAACTCAGTCGTTTCGCTTTTGCAGTACATATACTAGAATTTTAAGGACACAGATACGATTAACATAGCTCCTGAGCTAGGAAAACACGCAAAACCGTGAAGCGTTCTTTATTTCTGCCCCCCACCCCTCCATAAATAACGTTGTATGGCCTAGGGTAGGTAGACTTCCGTCTTCCTCTCGAAACGCTCTCATGTGGCCATGCGTTCATAGTCTCAGCCAGATAAGTCCTATTTACTACCTTCATGAGGTAGGTGAATGCGAACGTCTGGCGTTTGCAACCGGACTGGTGGACATGTATACAAAAACGGTGACTCTAAACTATAGCAGCCCAAAACGAAACTACTTAATAAGGGCCTTGAAAATTCTCCGTCGACTAATCAAGTACGCCTGAAGTATAGGTGCCTAATTTAAAGAAACATTTATATTCAAGCAGAGCAACGTTAAAATGTAGTTATATAGGATAATGTTTTTGTATATGCTCCTAGAATACATCTCAGTTTCCCGTAGGAGTCCTTATAGTTAGGTTAAACCAATTTCTTCACATAAATTCGTACAGATAATTGTATTTCTTGACCGATTCACAGCTGTGACCCTATTTTTAGGTGACTCCAGAAACTTTTGATGAAGTTATTGTGAGTATCATCGAAAGGATTATTGAAATGGTACTTATTATTGACCACTTTGGGAAATTAGCCCAGGGATCACAATTCGCTATACCTTCCAATGAGCCTGTTGTCTAAGCTGTACTTTAATACTAAATTTGTATAAAATGTGTTACGCAATTTGTGTACAGAATTCATAATTCCCTCCGTATACCACAGACTTATCTGACTGGCTGCTCAAAGTCATTAATCTGTTCATTAGGTAGTTTCGTTTTGCGCTGTTGCAGTTTAGAGTCATCACAAAAAAACCAATCACATTCAAGGTCATTGCGAGTGATGACTTAATCCCGTAGGGAATTTCAAAAAACTGCTTCAAACTGAAGTATGGCACTGAGAACGTTGTTATTAAGGAACAGAAAACTTCTCAACTGAACCATGCAACTGCGAGATCAATAATATGCCAAAATCGTCCACCTGAGCCACAGATTGTCTCCATTATTTCCACATTGAATCGCACATAGGTCGTTGAATCGTAAAAGAATTTTATAGTACGCTTAAAAATTCCAATTCATCTGGTGTTTAGTTCAACACGTACAATAAATTATAACCTTTCAGTTTCAATAGGTTTTGCATTATCCTGAGAATATTAAAACTCATCAATCCAAAACTATTAGAAAGTTCTTCGATGCTGCATTTTATGGACGTTTTACTGATATATGACAAAAACACTGAAATGCTATGATGTAAAAATTTTAGGTAACTGTAATATATTGGCGAAATTCGCGCATAACTTCCAAAGTATTAACACTCTGTAGCATTGATACCTTATACAATTTGGCTAACTCCAAGTCAAAGTAGTGCACCAGTCGCAACTGTGACACGAAGTTTTAAGAACATTATTCAGTTAATCAGTACCAATCGCCATCTACGACAGAAATTTGAATGGAGTCCCTTCTTTCACCTACCTAGGCAGCTTCGTTTGAAATACACACGGCTAAATTGTAGTTTTTGTAGTACACAGAATATCGCCGCTTTCTTCTTTATCGTTGTTACACGCTGTCACCATGAGTAGATATGTAAAGATTACAGGCTTTTGTTGACACTCATCGTCTTTCAGTTTGATGCATCGATACAGTAGATGACAACCAAGTTTGAAGTAGAATGATAAATATGGCAGTGGAGATTCATTTAAAGGTGATACAGATGAGGATAACGAAGACAAGACCGTAAAAGCAAGATAGGCCTTCATTACCCTAAAATCAGTGTGAAAATTTACTATAGTCAGCATAAAGAACAAGATTCAGACTTTCAGCACTAATGTCCTGTCAGCAGTTCTACGTAATTCAGAGACTCAGTGCGTCACCGGAAGTATCTCAAACATGCTACAGGATTTTAACAACAGCTGCCATCGCTAGCTTAATACTGAAGATCATGTGGCCAGAAAGGATTAATAACAAAGAACTCTGCCAACCAACCAACCAGGGACTAGTCGCCCAACAAATATGTAGAAGGAAATGGAGGTGGACAGAACACATGCTGAGAAGACCACTAAATGATATCACGCACAATGCAGACTCCTGAGTAGAACCATAATAGAAAACGGTGAGTTGGGTTTGTGAGGCTGACAGAGAGGAGATTGTGTGAAGAGGAGAATATCTGCTTATGGGCCACCATGCAGTTACACAGCCAGATGAAAAGGGTTTCAGAGAAAAGAATGATACCTAGGTGAGGTGCTGAAGCAATATCTTCCACTGAGGACCAAAGGGAATGATAATAATAACAATGATGTGTATGTAAATCTGAATTGTATTATCATAAAATCATAAAAGTACCATAAATAAGAAGAGCGATTTTTCACAAAGCAGGAATCTAAGCAATGAAATACAGAATTAATTTAAGGAAAAGTATGTAAATTTCAGATAAACAGAGTTATGAATAAGGATATGAATTTCGCCTTATGAATGAATTTCATGTAAAATACAAAATCACAAACATAAGAATCTCGTTGTTAACATGATATTCTATGCCTATGAAATATACGCTTCGCCTAGATTACTAGGTCACTAGTATTCTAGCCGGTCCCAAGCCCGGATAAAGAGGGAGGGTTGTGGCGTGGTGCTAGCAACTCCACCCCCAAAACTTAACGAAATCGCTACGAAAACTTCAACGCACAAATATATTTTAAATTCTAAAAATACAAACAATGACCTTATTTCTCGCTGGAATCGGGGAAGTGAAATGACGCAAGCTGGTGAAAGCCTTCGGGAAGCCAGTCAGCCGATGTGCCTTCTTTCGATGAGAGCAAAAATAAGGATGGGGACGTGGAATATTCGTACAATGTACGAAACTGGAAAGGCTGCTCAGGTAGCCGCAGAAATGAGGAGATATAAAATAGAAGTGTTGGGAATCTGCGAGAGCAGATGGAACGGATGCGGAAGGTGCCAACTACCAACTGGAGAGACAATAATCTACTCCGGTCACCCAGAGGACGATCACGGGCACACCGAGGGAGTAGCCATCATGATGTCACCAACAGCGGCTAAAGCTCTCATGCAGTGGGAACCAATCTCCTCCAGGATAATGACAGCCAGGTTCAACTCAAAAGGAAAAAATGTTACAATCATTCAATGCTACGCGCCTACAAACGTCTCAGAAAAAGAGAAGAAGGAGGATTTCTACAGTCAACTACAAACAGTAATGGACAACGTCCCAAAGAGCAATATCAAAATCCTGATGGGCGACATGAATGCGAAACTGGGAGGAGACAATACAGGAAGAGAACTCACCATGGGTCGTGAGGCCCTCGGTGAAATGAACGAAAATGGCGAACTCTTCTCAGACTTCTGCGCCTTCAATGATTTGGTGATTGGTGGCAGTGTGTTCAAACACAGGGATATACACAAGGCAACATGGATTTCACCAGATGGACACACCAAAAACCAGATAGATTTCATTTCAATCTCAAGGAAGTGGAGACGGAGCCTACTGGACACGAGTTCGAGGAGAGGAGCAGATGTGGGTTCAGACCACTATCTAGTACAAGGGACTTTCAAGGTGAAGCTGAAAGCCTCGAGGATACCTGGGGATAGGCCACAATCCAAGTTCAACACGCAAAAACTGAAGGACACAATCACACAGGACATTTTCACTGCAACTGCCAGAGCAAAGCAAGAAACACTACTACGTGACACCACTGAGGAATCATCCGTGGAAGACGATTGGAACTCTCTGAAGGTAATTTTCAACGAAACGTGTTCAACGGTTTTAGGAAGGAAGAAGAAACAAGACAAGGAATGGCTCTCAACGGTAACTTGGAAGCTAATAGAGGAGAGGAGAATGGTGAAAGAGAAAATGATTCAATGCAAAGACGGACGAGAGAAAGAGACGCTGAGATCAACTTACACAGCACTGGACAAAGAAGTGAAGAAGAGTTCCAGGAAGGACAAAAGACAATTCTACGACAACCTGGCTACTGAATCTGGGAAGGCAGCCGGCAAAAGGGACTATATCAGATAACCAAGTCTCTATCCGGGAAGAGATCAACACAAGTGAAACCTATAAAAGACAGTCAAGGGAACCCAATTACCAAAGAAGAAAGACAGATTAAACAATGGGCGGACCACTTCAAAGGACTCTTGAACAGACCACCACCTGCATTCCGTCCAGAAATACCAACAACAGCACGTACACAACTGCAAGTTGACACCAATCCTCCAACGAAAACTGAAGTGTTGAATGCAATCAAGCTTCTGAAAGCTGGAAAAGCAGCTGGACCAGATGGAATACCCCTGGAAGCACTGAAAGCGGACCCAGAGATGACAGCAGATATGCTGACTCCATTATTACAAAAGATCTGGAAAGAGGGAAAGGTGCCTACTAACTGGGGGAAAAGTTACCTCGTGAAACTACCAAAGAAGGGCGACCTAGGACTCTGCAAGAACTGGCGAGGAATCATGCTCCTGTCGACGCCAAGTAAAATCCTGAGTCGCATCATCATGGAGAGAATAAAGGACGCACTGGATAGAGAACTCCGACCAGAACAAGCTGGATTCAGGAAAGACAAATCATGTTCTGACCAAATTGCAACTCTACGCACTATCATCGAACAAAGCATGGAATGGCAATCAAATCTCTAACTCAACTTTATAGACTTTGAGAAGGCCTTCGACAGCGCTGATCGCGAAGTAATTTGGAAAATACTCGAGTACTACGGCGTACCCCAAATATTCATCAACTTATTCAACAGCTGTACGACAACGGTACATGTCAAGTGATCCACAACGGAAAAGTCAGCGAGGCGTTTGGAGTAAACACAGGAGTCAGACAAGGGTGCTTATTATCACCAATGATAATACTAATTGTTGTGGGCTGGATTATGCGGTAGACAGTGGAAAACGAGAAGACAAGGATATCCTGGACCTACGTGAAGAACCTAGAAGACCTGGATTTCGCGAGTGGATGATTTATGTTTGATGTCACACAAAATCGAAGACTTACAAGCAAAAACCGACAAACTGGTCGAAGAAGCAGCCAGCGAAGACAGGACTCCAGGTGAACATAGACAAGACGGAGGTTATGAAAATAACCAACCACCACCAACAGCAACAACAGCAACACCCAGCGCCAATCACCATCAACGGGAGGGATTTGAAAGAGGTTACTTCTTTCACTTATCTAGGGAGCATTGTTTCAACCACAGGAGGAACGGACGAGGATGTCAAAGCGAGAATCGGTAAGGCGAGAAACACATTCATCAACCTGAAACCAATCTGGAAATCTTCGTCACTCAGCATCAACAACAAAATACGGATTTTCAATACAAACGTCAAGTCAGTCACTTCTTCTATACGGATCAGAAACTTGGCGGGTGACAAAGAATATTTTCAACAGGCTGCAGATCTTTATCAACAACTGTCTCCATGCTGAAGATTAGATGGCCCGAAAGAATCACAAACAAGAAGCTATGGGAACAAACAAAACAGGAACCAATCGCTCAACAAATATGCAGGAGAAAGTGGAGATGGATTGGACACTCGCTGAGGAGGCCACTGGGTGACATAGTGCGTCAGGCCAATGCTCGAGTGGAACCCGAAAGGGAAGCGGCGAGTGGAATGTCCAAGGGTGACATGGAGAAGATCGTGTGAAGAAGAGTTGAAACAGTATGGACTAAGATGGATGCAGGTGAAAAGTACAGCAGAAGACAGAAGCAAGTGGAGACGTGTAGTTGAAGCCCTATGATCCACTAGGAACCCAAGGGAACAATAATAATATAATGAAATATACGCACTTCATTTTATTTAGTACATATATATATGCCAATGTGTAGGTAGGTGTATCAATAATCCTTTCATGCATTCTTCTCAAATTCAATGTCGATCGACTTGTTGTTACACTAAGACAATTAATTTACGTAACTGACTTAACTCCATGTGTAAAGTTTCTTCGGATATACGTAATTTATTTTCTAACACAGATTTTGCGCTAGTCACTGTTTCATGTATTGTGTGAAAACCTTCACGCATTTCTTCTCGTACAGCTTCAATGCTTTGACGATTATGATCATATAAATCGTCGGAAATCTTATTCATACGCATCTCTATTTCCTGTATAGTAATAAAAAGGTAGAGAGGAGAAAATCTATTTAGACTGGTAAATAACTAAATAATAACGCTGAAAACAAGTGAAACAAGCAAAATGACAATGGGTAAACTATGGGAGATAGAAACTTACCTCAAGATTCACCACCTCTCAAAAACAAAGGCGATGAAAAAACAGATGTCGATCTCATTTGAAATTGATTCAATAACAAAACTGTCAGTAGATGAGATACTCAGACCAACTATAATCGAGTGTCGTGATAACATTTAATCTGATTTTGAAAAATGGCATGCCTTAGTAATATGTTCTAAAACTGTCAGCGCTAAGTAGGGAATGGACCATATCATAATGCCTTATTTGCTACTCCTGACGAACGATTTTCCCATCAATGAAGACCGCATTGAAACCCTTGTACAGGAAATTATACCAAATTCTGAAATGTATCTATGAAATTCTTGACTACTGACCTAAAACATGAGTAGTTAGTGACATCTAGGTGTAAAAAACTAATCGCTGTAATGATTAAACATTTTTCACATTAAATGAATGTATTGGGTAATGAATGAAGGCAAAATGAAAACCTGAGTCATAGCAAGATTCAAGCCAGAAGCCTTCAAATTACTAGTACGGCACTCTACTAACTGGGTTTAGAGAACATGAGCTAATTAGCTGATATAGAATGCCAAACTTGTGATTCGTAGACCTCTAGTTCGATCCCTGCCACGACACAGATCTTCATTTAACTTTCAACCACTATCCATTACATACATAACAAAGACTATGTTAAAAAGTCTTGCTATCCAGACGTATTTATTCATTAGTGTATTCCAAATACTCCTCATAATTCAGCTTCAGCTGCTAAGCTTAAGCGGAAGACAAACTGTTAACGTGACATTAGACAATTCCAAAAGACTGATAACAAGTAGAATTCAATTAGAAAATTAAAACAAACGAACAAACAGAGAAGGCGTATACCTTAAATGTTCTTAAAACTTGTTGTTTAAAATTCGATGTGTTTGTTTCGACATTTTCCACTCGTTCATACAATTCTTCATCAATCCTTTCTTCATTTGCTTTTTCTTCAACAAGTGCCTAAATCAGAAATGTGAAAAAAATGAGGTTGGGAGAAAAATAATCAGAATTTCGACAAATATATCTCGAAGCACGAAAATGCTACATGAAGTTCAAATATTATGTTATCAATGTTTCATTTCGAAATTTATTTTTATTTTGAACAATATCAATTTGTGCTCAGATTAAAAAATAAAGTGAATTTAAGATACACGTGAATTATATATGTAACTTAAAACGAATAGTGCTCACTGGTACCATATAGTAGCTGCATACCGACTCCCTGGTAAGAATGATTTCAAACTAATATCAATCGCAATTATATGTCGTTCGGACTAAATGAATTTAAGTAGCTTAATGTATAGAAAGTAAGAAATAAGACTGTATAGGATAATCACATCTATTCAATAGAAAAACCTTTAATAAATATTGCGATTAGATGTTTGAAATTGATGAAAACCGTAGTTCTTAAAAATTAAAACCTTGAAAGCGATACTTTGCTCAATAATCCGATATATTGGTTGGTGAATCCATGAAAATTGAGAAGGAAACGTAGTCAATAAAAACGTCAGGCCTTACAAAGATTCGGTCTGAAGGAAACACCTCAGTTAGGTGTTTCGCTTGTGAAATTCAGGTTCATTTATTGGTTTATGTATATGAATGACCTAGATTCGAGGTCAGAGACCACATCACTAAGACTTAATACCCACATATTTTGACATTAATAATTAAGCTTTTGACAAAACATAACTATTCTTGCTTGGAGAGTAGTTTTCAGTTATAAAATATTTCATATTCATCAATAACTACTTATCGTATTTCACGTGTCCTTGCAGATCTCATTCCATTTCGAATGAAATAATTTGTGCAACAGGGTGTGATTTTATCATTATAAAAGTATCCATAAGTCAGTAAGATACAATCACAGTTTATTTTATTTTTAGCCCTTTATATATTGATTGCAATTTATCATCATACAGTTTTACGCAAGCCACGATGCCTGTGAAGCTGCAAAAGGTATTGTGGTAAACACAGAGTAAACAGTTATAAAAAAGATAAGGAAACGGTGAAAAAAACAACTAAGAAAACCAATAAATATAAAGACTTTTCCACCATAGAATGAAGCAATAATTCAGCGATTTGAGCACACGTATTGCAGAAGGAAACTGTGAATATAATGACATTTTAATGTTATTTGGTGAGTGGTAACTAGCAGCAGAATCGAGGATGTACACTTCTTCCTATTTAGGACTCCTCGTCCGGATGTAACCCTGACCGATTTACATCAGTGTTAGCCCTCAGGCATCGTTGAAGTTCCCGTACTAGAAGCCAAAATATCATCAGAAGCCGAAATTTTCGGTTAAGTCAGTCAACGGGGAAAACAAAATTTGACTTATACAAACTAATGATAATTTGATTGAAAACCAACCATTAAGGTCTGGTAAAATGCATCAGTTTATGCTGAGTCAGATACTACAGAAGGAAACATTGAGTGATGGTCTGCAACGTTTCAAGGCTAGAAAGAAGTCAGTTATTTGAACTATTTGATTTAGTCTCTGACCATTGAATTTGAGAATCCCAACGACTCCACTAAAATAAACTACATCTCTTTGTATTCCGAGTCGACAGTCGCTCGCCCAATAGTTTGACGTCATTTTTCAACTTGATTACCCGTAGCCATTCATCAATCTCGAAATTCATAGCACTTTCTCATACTAGACTAAAGCTGTTATTTCATGAATTATTAAAGCCAAGACAGTGACAATGGAGTCGAACGAAGAGAGCATTAAATTTTTAATATATTCACGAAATCCACTGTCGTTACCCAAAGCTAAAGACCATAATGTTAGTTATAGAGATAGAACAAAAGGGATCATCTTCACTGATTTATATTAGCCACTTTAGATAAAGAATCACAAGGGCACTTACTAGTTTTCTGGCTTATCAATTACCTCCCTATGGCTATCATTCACTAGTTACATCAAGTAAGTAAATTCCAATGGACACCGGAGAGAATTACCAGAAGTTATGAGATAGTTAGTGGGTTCAGATTTCGCTTAAGTGTTGGACACCTGTCAGGAAAATAAACGATTAGGATTGTAAATCGAAGTAATACAACTACCTTCCAGTTTCAAATAAGTTGTCATTATTCTTCTGAAAACACAACACTAGATACTCTTTGTATATTTTAGTATAATTCAAACACACCACGATTAAGGAATGAAGTGTAGAATCATAGGGCATGAAATTATAACAGCTAGTGAGATTTTGAATGTGTAGTCAGAATTTTATACATCCCATGGTGACATGGAGGAGATCGTGTGATAAATAGATGGGAGTTCATGGGCAGTCGTGAGGCCAACTAAAGAGGACTGAAGACTACAGGATGTAATAGAGATGTACTGTTGAGACCCTATGTTCCCCTATGAACTTACGGGAAGACTAATAATACACCTACCTATCACTTGAGTCAATACGCAAAGTATAAAAAACAAGCGCTTATTTTGCAGTTTATTTTTATAATAGATAGTATACATCTTTAAGGATTTCAGTCTTTCAATAGAAATCACTCACTATTCCTTAAATCTAATAATGTAACATAAATTATAGTATGAATGCAAAAGGTTTTATGCAACAAAAAACTATATCAGGAAATGTCTGTCAGAAAGCAAAGCTAACTGTTTTAGTAATCCTCAGAAGAAATACCAATAATGTAACGTTGTCTAAGAGTTTCATATCATCAATAAGATTTGGTATGCGGTTTTCTGTTTTACCGAGAATGCTTAAACAACATAATACTGTGATTACTTATTTTGACAGAAGTTATATATATATGTATATACCTTTTATAATAAACTAAAAGTGAAAATAACTAGGGAAAGAGATTTGAAGTATTTTTAAACGAAATAAACTGAGTAGTTAGACTTTAAAAGATGCATTTGTTTTGAAAATAAATTTCTTAACTGTGTGAAATTGTCTAGAAGGATGACTTAAAATCTTGATGCATTGGAAAGCTACTTTTTACTAGTTTCAAATCCTGTTTTCAGGACACATTCACGACCCAGTGACGAACAAAGCCCACGATCATAATTTTACGGAATAAGATGAACCAAAAGCAACTTTTAAAAGAGATATAAGGAAACTATACAGACAGAGAAAAATAAAGGTGATAGACAATTTCAAATGAATGAATACTGTCAATGCAAAGAATGTCCACTAAAGCATTATTTTCAACACTAAGTCAGTATTAAGTGATCATTAACTTTGAGAAACATCGTAAGAGCTATACCGACCGAATTAAAGTTGACTGTAGTCTGAAGTGGTATTATGTTATGATAACGTTAACGAATATATTCCGATCAAAATAAATAATTAGTTATCATTTTATATATCCAATAAGTTAGTCTTCTCTAGGAGCGATTAATGAAAAACCATCACTTATTGATGATTGCAGACCAACCCCTGTCCTGTTGTCGCCTGTTTCTAAACGCCACTCAAATAACACTGACTATTATTATTATTAACTTTTCAAAGTGACAATTGACCCAGGAGACTGTCGATTGCAGTATACATTGAACTGATATTTTAGTGCTTCATGAAATGAAATTAGTTCTCCTGTTTGTTGACGATTTGTGTCTGACGATATACATATAAGAGTTCTGGGCTCGAACCCCAGTGCATGCGTACCCCTGAAGAGTCCCAAACTAGGGAGAAACAGTTGTCCTGTACTGTCTGATTTCCAGTACTTCTCGAACTGATTTCAATCTGTGGTGAAACTCGAAACAAACTGAATCCCTACAAACTAACTCTTGAAAGTATATAAACAATCAATCTTTAATTCATTTCGATGAAGGGGAAATCTGAATGAATTACGCTGGCAAAAGTAAACGTTTATTTTATCACCTTAAAAGCATTTCAGATTGGTTAAATTTTTGTAGCCCACACCAGTGAAATTTCACTTCACTTATTTTTGCAACCACAGTCAGAGGATTCCACTCTACGTCTCAAAACGTTTTCATGTAACCACGTATTCATAGTTTCACTCGAAACTCTCTCGATTACATAAGATTATTCACTATTTTTTACACATTGTTGTTTTTCGCACACTTTGATTCATTTTGTTACTAACCGCCAGCAATGTTTGACTTTTGGTGTCAATTAACATTGTATATATCAACCCCTTGCATAACTGTACAGCCTTGAACGGAAGTTATGAAAAGAGATGTCTTTGCTGATTTGGATGTCCTTAATTATTTCACATAGGAATTTCCCATGCCCTGAAGAAACAGAATAGTTTATATAGTAAAACGGACAACAATGAAACACAAGTATAAATAAATAACAACTGATACCTGATGCACAGTACATGATTCGCGTGCACTGGTATGTAAAACGATGAGTGATTTATTCAATTTTCAGTGGGAGACCGATACAGTTGCAAATACACCCAGATGATGCATTCCAAACAGGATTATTATTATGAGTTTTATCAACCTCCTGTGTTCCGAATGAAACATTTCATAACCTTTTGTGCAGTGCTCTCTAGTTGGTCCCATGATTCCCCATAAGCTCTTATCTCCTCTTCACACGATCTCTTCCGTGACACCTTCGGAATCCCAACTTGTAGTTTCCGATTCGGATTCTAATCTAGGGTCCCGAGCTTGACATCACTGAGTGGTCTCCTCAGCATGCAACTGATCATTCTCCATTTTTTCCTGCATATTTGTTTGGCTATAGGTTAGTGGTTGGTTCGTTCTTAGAGTTTCTTATTGCTGATCCTTTCTGGTCATTTGATCTTCATTACGCAGTGAAAGCAGGCAATGATGCAAATCTGAGGTCCGTTGAGGATGCTTTTCGTGATGTGTGAGCTGAGTCGCTGAACCGAATATAAGCACTAACTGAAGTGACATTAGTGCTGAAAATTCTAATGTCGCTCCTTAAGCTTAGTGCAAATGGTTTTCACACTGATTTCATATTTGTAAATGACTGTCTTGCTTTGCCAATTTCGCCCTTGATATCCTTATCCCTGCCGTATGTAGCTGAAATGATGATACAAGCATTTGTAATCCACTTCAAGTATACATCAAGTGAATAATGAGATTCGCTGAATATTTGTCGTAATATCCTGGAATAGTAAAAATGTCTTCCTACTTTATGAACGCTCATTCTAACTCATTTTTGAATCTTATTGTTAGGCTAATTCTAATCAAAACAAATGATTAATAAAGGCAACTGAAAAAGGTATCTGTTTGCTATAAGGATTGGAACTCACGATACGATTTTCAAGGTTTGCTGTCATCGCATTCATATTCTCAGCTAAACGTGTCTCCAAACACCTTATTTCTTCATGACAATGCTGTATTGATGCTTGTATTTCATGCTGAATCTCATTTATCTTGGTTTGAAGTCGTCTTTCAACATCTGCTATCTGTCTATATAGTGTTTCTTCCACACGTTGGATAGAAGAATTAAATTTTGTAATATCCCGATCAATTTGACCGACTATTTCAGCAAACTATAAAGAAAAATTAGTGAATTATAATGGGAATGAAAGTTTTCTATGATTTTGAAGAGTCTATGCATACCCTCATGTCATCAGTACTCATTTAAGCTTGAAAAACACCAGAAACAGTATGAAGTCAAGGTATAATATCACTAGCGTTCCTATTTATTTCCTTGACAGTATGTGAAGTTGACTACCTTCAGCACAAAATATGTATTTGAAGTTTATAAGCATAGCTATGGGGAACAGTTTTATAGTCATATTTCAAGCCTATGATGCTTACTCATACTATTGTTTAGACAGAGTTAGAATGTAAAATGTAGTTTCTAAAATTTATCTAAGAAAGTGAAGAAGCCAGAAGTCGAAATTTAAATCTCCTAATTACCTAATATTTGAGTAAGTTATCTCGCTATCTACTACAAACATTAAAAAGGAGAATATTCTGTAAGAAAAGTAACAATTCAAACTCTGCAAAGGTCCAATAAAGTGGATACGCTAACTCCATATCAAAGTTGCACGATTAATGAATTTAAAGGATGTTCTAGAATACAGTTTTAGCGAGCAAGAAATACACTATTATTTACCACCTAAGACGTGTAACCTGAAAATGTTAATATTCTGTGAATTCTTTTCGTTCTTAAAAGCCACTAAGATATTCTTTAGTGACTTCATAGTTGTGTGTTCGGGTTCCTTACCAGTTTTGAGATTTAACTCTTAGTAACTGCCATACCTTTAATAATAATAATAATAACGATTTGCTTTTTTCCAAAACAGTACTTATGATGAGGTGTAAACATTTCAGCATTCCATACAATACTGGATCTAATTTACTCAACAACTACAACAGCAACAGAAGAAATGCATTACAAGGTACATTTAACCGGAATTGATAACAGCAACTTCTGGTATTAGAAGAAGCAGTAGGGCCAAAACGTACGAATATAGAATGACAAAAATAATAATATTAGTGTTAATATCACAAAATGATAAGATAATTAGGATAGTGTCACCATAAAATTACAAATATGGGAGAATAACTGACCCATATTTATGCTAATCACAAAGTAAGTCGGAAGTTTCACCTTTAACATTATATGCTCGTACGACCAAGTATAAAACTCAACGATACTCTATTTGACTGTCTTCAATGTGATAAACATAATCTTTTATAATGACTTCTAGTCCTACCAGATGAGATGCAGGAGGAGAGTTATGAATCCAGAGGGTATTGAAAGTCAGACATTATGGATTTAAATCATTTCTCACATGAGTTTAGGTGGCTGTCAACTATGACGGTAACTAGCTGGCTAAGTGGCACACAACTTACCCTACTAACATCCTTTAATACCCTTCGCTGTATGACATTACCCTTCTTGAATGGTCCAAGAAAGACTAAGTGGGAGCAATAAAGTACAACAGGTGAGATGCGAGAGTTAACGAACTGTAAAAGCAGAAGTTGAGTGATTGCTGACTGTCTTAACTTCTTAATGTAGTAGGTTAGACGGAGCATTTTCTTTGGAATAGACAGGATATGGGCAGACCAAGAAAGGTGAGAGGATATAAATATACTGAGGTGCTTGACTTATTCTCTACGTCACTGTCCTCTAAGCAACAAGAGTCGTGTGAACTAACGGGTGGGTTTACGTCACGTTTATTTCTGAAGGTAAAATTAACTGTCTGACGTTTAGAAGGATTTAACGTAAGACCATTAAGCTTAAACCACTAACTAATGTCTGACAGAAAGCTATTCGGTTTGGAACAGTTATCTCAGGAAGTAACTGGCATTGAGACAGTTAGGTCGTCAGCATATTTAACAAAGTTAGTTACTTCCGAACAAGGAAAGTCATGTGAAAAGAGAGAAATAAGAGTAGAAGAGAGAACAGCATCTTGAGGGATACAGGCTTCAGTAAGCAAGGAAGAGGAAGGTGTACCTTTATATCCAGTAAACTGCTATCTTTTTGAGGGATAACCGGTTAACTGCCCAAGATTCAGTTGATGTTGTGGAAAGCTTATTTAACAAAAGACATCTGGGAACACAATCAAAAGCGGTTGTACAGTCGAGGAAAGAACATAAAACATATTTAGCTCCCTTGTCTTAGCAGGAAACAATATTATGGTATAGGATAACAGCAGAATCTGAAGTCTATCTACCCTGTATATATACGAACTGTTTAGGGTTAGTGAGACTTTCTAATGCATGGTGGGTGAGTGCATACGCGAAAAATACCTGTCTATACAAGAAAGTAAGAACAAACAGTTCAGTGAAAAGGTCCTTTTCGGAGAATTTAGTCACTTAGCTAAGTAATCGCTAATATCTGCAGTTATTTTTGTTTGTATGTGCACATTCACTCTTGAACAAGACAAGGACAAAAAATGTATGAGGATAATATGAGATCATTCTTTATCATTTCATGTTTTCTTCTCAATGAATGAGCTCATATTGTTATGCTACACTGAATCTTTAGAAAAGTAAAATAATAATTATAGACAGATTTCTTTGGAATATTGTCTCCAGCGTGATGCAGATTGGTAGGAAGCGGCCAAAATTGAAATCAACATTTTAGATCAGCAGCTGCAGAGTTTACGTTACAGAAATGAAACAACCTCGTTGGCCCACTTGCCAATCATTCAGAACAAATTATTCTCCTCTGACCTAGTCAAAATTCAATGTAGTTAGGAAGGTATAAATATGCTGTGTCTTTTCTTAACAAACTTCCATTAACAAGTCTCTTATCTTCTCTCCTTAGATGTCTGCATCAAAACATTTTAAAACTATGAATGGTAATCAAAGTGGAACCGAGGCTGGGGTGAAGATTAGTAAGTTTATATTGAAGGTTGCATAATAAGAAAATACGTTCAGAAAAAATTGGGTATTAATAAGAGAGTATGGAAAAAGTGCTAAAATATATTGTGTAACAGGTGGATAGAGTGAACAAAAGGTTAGTTAAGAAAATGATGTTAATAATTTCTATAACAAAAATGTAAAAAGTTATAATGATGAAATACTTATAAAAGTTGAGCTTGGAATTATATCCAAGGTAGAAGAAGTGGATGCAGAAGTTTATTCTGTGTCTCCTTTCAGTAGCTATGAGGAATAATTTTCCCTAAGTTTTTTTAAAAATTAAATGTATTGATGAAAACGACGTTCCAAACTTATTTTATATATATATATTTTGCTACGTTTGACTGATTAAATGTATATATGGACGACAACATTGCTGAGTGAATCTGCCAAAAATACCGTCTTGGCTGAATTGTTTGCTCTTATCTCCAGATGAGTTTATGTTACAGAGTTTGTCCAATCACTACACTTGCAATGGACGTAATGTGTCTTAATACCCGACAGGTAAATTCTATTTTTTTCTGTCTCTTCATTAGTATTATTTTGTCTTTACAACGACGTTTGCTCAATTTTAGTCCTAATTTAAGTGGCATTATTCTCTACCGCACTTCTACTTAGTCTCTACCTGTAATTACCTCTGTTGCTACCCTGACCTAAGTTGAAACATTTTAGTCAATTATATTATGTCATCTAACTTACTAACTCAATCTTACTTTATTTGCTGTCTAATTAACCTTGTTTCTATATTAGATCATTCTTGTTGATTGTAACGTATGCGGAAGTGATGAGTAAAGAATTAAGTAAAATAGGTGAATCCTCCTATTCTTCCGAAATCTTTCCTATATTTTGTGAAAACAGTTTGTGCTGTATCTGGCAGCCGTCTTTCATTGACATGCACTCTTTTAGTTCAGGTAAAGAAATATATGAAATGTGTCAACAGTAGATGGACTGAGACATGTTTTCAGTACACACAAGTAAGATGTCTTTTAGCTGGAATTGTCAGGGAAATATGAGTTGCTTAATTAGAGTTTGAAATACAGACCTAGATTAGTAGTTTACGAATTTTTACGACAGAACTTCAAATGATCATTTTGATCAAGACATAAAAATTCCATCCAAATCTTGATTATGTCATTAGTTTTGTTTCATATTGTGGTGGTGTGATACAAACTATGGGTTCCAATGGAATATTATTCTCACGGTAAGAATCATCGTATTGGGCTGATGTTGACGTCTGAATACTATTCCCACAGTTCAGTACTACAGTAGCAACAGAATACTATTTATATTTGAACAGTCTATTTCATGTAAACTAAAATCAAACGCACAGTGATTGGTTGAAGAATATAAACTGTATAGATATAAATGGCTGTTTGATCACCTGAAAATATACCTTGGCTTCCGTGTCCTGCCTTCTGCAGTTGCAATATTTTTATTGTTTATTTTACATTTAGTATGAAGGTAATTTTATTTTCATAACTTTCACAGTGTTATGCAGTAATATTTATTGGAATTATACTCTACTACATGGCGCAGGTTCTATTCGTATATCAAATCTCACAATCATTTTACAACTGCTTTTACTAGTACTCTCATCAGCTGTTTCTTTCTTGGTGCAATTACGGTTTTTGATTTTCTTTCTGTTACACATTTACGCGTGATCTGATATTGTTAATGAAAAGATAGAATGTCCTACAAATCAAGTTTTTCGCGATGCCCAATTAGGAGAATATTCATGAACACATATTAATACGATAATGATAAGTACTGAATTTAAGTGAATGTATAATTTTCGATGCTGGTAGTGTTACACTTCCCTTTTAGATCTGTAGGTTAACAGTTATGAAACACGACAACTTCTTCTTCTGAAATAGTCATTTATCTTGGAAGGTAACCTCCTCTCTACCGTCAGATTTAAATCATGACAGTAATTATCTTCTGGTCATCACTTATGCTCTACTCATGATATACTTATTTCATGAAACTCAACTTTCATCTTAACCCTCACAAAGCATTAAATCAAAAGATTAGACAACTTTGTTGTAAATATTTTAGAAATAGAAAACAGTTGGATGAGTGTAATGTATTTAAGTAATACTGTTAGTAGAAACAGAAAACCCAACTGAAATCTCTTAAATTATAGAATGTTAATAAATAAAAAAGAATTCCAAAGAAGAACCAGTCGAAAGAGAAGTAAAACAATGCCAAAAAATGTGCACAAATAAAAATTCAACAGAGACAAATGTTCACAAAATAATACG